GGCTGTGCCTTCCCCCAACCCTCAGAGCTGGCATGCCACTAACCCCACTAGCACCCGCTGCTATTGTGGCACGCTCAACCCTACAATCAGTTTCTATGGGCAACGTTCCTGCTAATCTTTTCCATCCATGTGCAGAATAATTGTATATGCACCGAGGGTTGTGTGAATGTGCACCACCTTAGAAACACAAACCTAGCTGTGGGTGCTCTGCTAATGAGCCAGGCAGCACTGGAATCCCTCCGGTGCGGCCGCATGAGCACCCAGCGTACAGGGAACGCTGCCTGCGGGAGGGTGCAAATTCCCAGACAGGGTAAGGTTCTGTGCTACACCCACTCACAGCTCTGGGCTTGGGGACTGTAAGCCCCCGCTGTGCCCTACCCACGCTTCTGGGGCTGAAGCAAATGGCCAAGCAGTACCGAGGCCAGCTCTGCTTCGAGGTATGCGATCCTGCAGGACTTGTAGCTACAAATCCCCCCCTCGCCTGCGGGAGGGTGCAAATTCCCAGACAGGGTAAGGTTCTGTGCTACACCCACTCACAGCTCTGGGCTTGGGGACTGTAAGCCCCCGCTGTGCCCTACCCACGCTTCTGGGGCTGAAGCAAATGGCCAAGCAGTACCGAGGCCAGCTCTGCTTCGAGGTATGCGATCCTGCAGGACTTGTAGCTACAAATCCCCCCCTCCATTGGAGCTTGAGCCAAGCTCCACCCAGGACCACTGCGGAAGGAGGCGTTTAAAGATCCGGGTCGCTGCTGCTCCGGAGGCAAAGCACGGCCCTGGAGCGGCACCCAAGCACTCTGCACCACCCTGCAAACCATTCAGCAAGCCTGGCTCACGGTTTTCTCGCTCGGCCCTGGCGCCTGAGCGTGACTGGACTGAGCATGAAAGGGCCAGGAAATGTCACTCCTCAGGCCCAGCGCACGAGCAAACGTCTCCGCTCGAATGCCAGGATCGGAGACCGGAAGAGGCTGGCGCATGGCTATTGAGACCAGAACGCTGCACACGCAATACAGGAGAACAGCGGCACGCCCCGCAGCTCAACCCTGCCTCAGTCGCATGCCATGGCTCGTTGTTAACCCCCCAAAATGGCAGCTCACTCCAAAGCTGGATTATGGCACCTGTCCCCTGGGGGCAGAAATGGGCCCTGAGGTGAATTTTGCTCCCAACCTCCCAGTTTCTGTTTGAGCCAGCAGGGATTAAACTCCCCCCCCCCCCACTGGCTCTTTCCCAGGGTGCTCCCAAGTGTGTTTGTTGGCACATAAGGAATAGCATCTGTAGTGGGTCGTATAAACAAAACGGGACAGGCAGCAAGTCGGCCATGCCATGCTGTAGTTAGCCTGGTTGGAGGTACACATGGGTATTTCCATCCAAAAAAACAACAGTTGGATCTAGCTTGTGTATTTCCCAATAAGCCAAAGTGCACAAATTCCCCTCCATCCCAGCACCTGATTTATGAGAGCAACTAGTGGTAATTCTGTGTAACTATTTCTTCACTCAGTGCTCCGTCAACCTGTGGAACTCCTTGCCAGAGGATGTTGAGAAGGCCGGGACTTTAACGGGGTTCAAAAAAGAACTAGATATATTCATGGAAGAGAGGTCCATCAATGGCTGTTAGCCAGGATGGGTAGCAATGGTGTCCCGAGCCTCTGTCAGAGGCTGGGAATGGGCGACACGGAAGGGATCACTTGATGATTCCCTGTTCTGTTCACTCCCTCTGGGGCTTTTTGCATTAGCCACTGTCGGCAGACGAGATACTGGGCTAGATGGACCTTTGATCTGACCCAGTATGGCCGTTCTTATGTACTTAACTATGACAAACTGTTAGCAGCTTTCAAGCGACACTGTCGGTTTGCAACCGAGTCCGTTTTTAAAAAAGGAAGGTAAAGTCATTGCAGATCTGACCTCTGGCCCTAAGTCTGCGGTTCCCAAACTTTTCTCTGCCTCAGCACATCTCAGTATCTTTTGAGGCCTACACCATATTGCTGACAAAACAACCTGCCTTCTTGTTGCTTCCATGTAAGCTGCCCACCACCCTTGCCATAAAGTTTCAGTGCAAGCTGTTTACCACCCGGGAACAATCGAGTGAATAATGACAGAGTCCAGCTCTGACACTATCCAAAACACAAGGGAAGGTTTTTTGTTCTCTCTGTCATTTTTTCCAAAACATTCCACGGCTCACCTGTTTGGGCCCGTCAGCACCCCGGTTGGGAAACACTGCCCTTTGGCATCCTGCCTATGTTTATGGCTTTACGGTCATGTTTTTCTCGTTTTTTTAACTGTTTTCCTCCCCTTCTACCCTCCCACCCCCACTCACACACACATTGTGAAAGAGGTACACAAACCAACAGAGGAAAGTCCTGAAAATGATCATCTAAAAAGCCAAGGCCTGGCCTGGAATGAGTAATGAACACATGGCAGGAGACTTTGATTCTCGGAGGATAACATATGGGAGCAATGTTTTGCCCTCTGACAGCCTTTGATTAAGGGAATCTTGGGTGTGTTTGGGAGCAGCAAGAGGTAAGGCCTTTGCAGGCAGAAGGGTAGATCCTGCCCCTTCACACAAGGAAACGGAGCTGTGCCAAAAGAAATCAACCACATGCTCCATTCCACTGTTAGAAAAGGAGGCTGTCGAGTAGGGAATGGGAGGGCTGGAGTCTGTCTCAGCGTGGGGTTCAGGGGGCTGGGGAGTATTGTCAGGGGCTACACCAAAAGAATGGGAGTCCAGACTCCTGTTCCTGACCCGTCCTTATGACTTTGGGCAGGGCATGTGAACAGTCTGGTGAAATCCTGGCTATTGACTCCAACAGAGGTGGGACTTCACACGCTGTGCCTCGGTGGGGCTGTGTCTACACGGGGGAAAAGCGCTGTCGCCATGCAAAAGTCTCCAAAAGTGAAAAATGGTCAAACCAGTTTTTCTGACTCCTGTTGTCAACATTTCATGGTCACGTTGCTGGCTCCCCTGTTGACAGATCAAGCAAAGCCGGGTGGGTAAACATCCTACAGGGCACTGTTGTGAGATGGCAGAGCTGATCCCTGGACTTCTTGCGATTCCCTCATAGCTCTGTGAGCTCTCCGTGCTGAGGAATGTCAAAGCAGCACAGCCGTATCTCCAGCCTCCTCCTGCAGCAGCTTCTGCCTGCTGCTGTATTCCTAGCAGGGCAGAACAGGAACATTCCAGCAATTTGTCCTTTCTTTGTCCCCCGCAAAGGGAGCAGCTCGCTCAGCTGTCAGATACTTCCCGGAGCTTTGAAAGGGGAGGGGGGGCGCATGCCTGCAGGGCAGCAGAGCTCACAAAACACTGAGCACAGCCATTAGGGTGGGCATTGTGGGATACTGGCAGAAACCAGTTCTCTCGACAAAACAGAATCCACACTGGCTCTGTCAACAATAAAGGGAGGGAAAAAGACAAAAGTCTCTCACAGGGCTGGACGTTTTTTGGCGCCAAAACTGGGTGTTCTTTCCGACAAAAGTTGCATTGCAGTGCAAACACTCTCGCTGTTTTCTCACCAAAGAGCAGTTTTTGGCATCAAAATGTGTCAGTGTAGACAAGGCCTTAGCCAGTCTGTAAAATTAGGCTCGCAACACCCCACTCCAAGGGCTTCATGAATATTCACAAAGCTTCAGAAGTCGGCAACCACTGAAGGGCATAAAGTACAAAGCGCTCTTAGTACTCTGCTTAGGGCCAGAATGCAGGTTCAAATGACGCTACGATGAAAATCTAAAGAGTGCTATTATTGACAGGCTCTCCTGTGCCAAGGGATTTGCATGCCACGCGGCATGGCTACAGTACAGCAGGTGGAACATCACTGGGTAGACAGGGAAGGTGTTTCCGGCTAAAACAGCAGATGCTTGTTGTCCAAGGCAGATGTGAGAGTGGAATTGGAGCGTGGGGATTTGCAAAGGGTGCTAACTCTGCTGGGTTCTTCCTATCAGCTACAGGACAACAGAGGATGCATCTCATGCGGTAGATGCTTCTGGTTTTGGGAGCTAAAGGACCCAGGTTCTAGTCCCCGCTTCTTGGAGAGAGGGCTAATATATCTGTCTCTGTTCCCTGTAGAGCATATGTGAAGGCTGCCATCTTGGCCACACACTGGGCCCTTTCAGAGCTAAAAATATGAGCTGCTACAGCTTGAGCTAAAGAATCAATTCTCAGTAGCCAGGAGTTGTACCTGGCCCATACTCTCTGTGTATCGGCAGGAGGACCCGTAACATGCTCCATGGCTCGGTTACAGAGCCTGAATTCTCAAGGCCTGGTGCCGAGTAGTTCCCTTGACTTCTGGGCGATGGCTTCCCGAAGTAAAGGTGCCTATGCCCCTGCAGGATTGGGGCCCTGAGCGGGCGTCCGTCCCCTGCTCTCCTGATGTGAGTTCGTTTGTGCCACTGGTGCTGGTTGGGACCGGCTCCAACTGCAGCTCCTAGTCAGGGAGGCAGGTTCCTCCCCTGGCGAGCCCTAATTATTTGGATCCTGGGCAGATTACACGATTGTGGCAGTTAAATTCACATCACCGACACCCCCCCTCCAGCCAGCTCCCACCTTCGTTTCGTGGGGCAAACGCTGCTTCCTGGCCCACTAGTGCGGGTGATTAAAGCCAGATCTCGCTGGAACCCTGGTTGCCCGGCTTCCTGCTGGTACCATGCAGAATTCTACCTAGCCGGTGTCAAGCCATTCCATCATGTCAGAAGTGCTGGGGCGAGGAAAGCAACAAGATAGCATGCTGGGGCTGGAAATCATAGAGGGTTAGACACATTTTGATGGCGCCTGTCCAATTCCACGGAGGACTGGTAAACACGTCACACAGCTGGGCTTGCCCCAGAGATCAGAGAAGGCAGGAGCCGTCTGTTCCTTGTCCAGCGCCTCGCACAATGTTTGAGTGACGCTGGGGAGGGGGATGCTATGATAGCTAACTATTTCAGTCCCAGACTTGAGGCACACTAGTCAGGAATGCTCCTCGAGCCACGCTCGCCTGGCTTTGTCATTTGAACGCACTCTCTTCCGCCCCTCAGGTCATCGCTGTGGTCATGGACATGTTCACGGATGTCGACATCTTCAAGGACCTCCTGGAGGCGGGCTTCAAGCGGAAAGTCGGCGTCTACATCATCGTGGATGAGACCAATGTGAAATACTTCCTTCAGATGTGCGAGCGCACGCAGATGCACGCCGGGCACCTGAAGGTGAGATGGGCACCGTGGGCCCGGCGCCAGGCAGCGGGGGGTAATAGGTTGAACATCTCCCCCCCGGCTTGCAGGGTTAGTCAGCCGGAAGCTAGTACAAGAAAATCGGGCTTGAGTCTGCCCTGCCTCTCCCTGGTGCCCTTGGAGACCTGGAGGCCCCCCCGTCGGGCTAGAGCAGCCCCCTACACAATCCCCCTTTTAATTGGTTAACCCGTTAAACAGAATGTTTAGCCAATTAACCAATTAAATGGGATTTTACAACCCTACTCGCGGTGCCTGTAATTATCGGTTCAAAGGCAGAGGAGCCGACGGCGCCATGAGCCATTCTCAGAGCTCAGCTTTGACTCACGAGGGGGCAGAAAGAGATGGAAGGAGGGGGCATGTGCCCACCCCCCCGGGATGGGATGCAGATCTCCAGCAAGAACCTGTTAGCCCCTGCAGGGCACCTCCAGGGGAAGGGAATATGTCTAAAAGGAAGGGGCATGCTGGCTAAGCCAGCCAGGATGCGGTTCTTAGAATCAGGTGTCCTTGGCTTTCTTCTGGCCTTGGGCAAGTCACCGCCCTGTAATGTGCCTCAGTTTCCCCAGCGGTAAACTGGGGCTAACGATGGTGTCTGCCTTCACAGAGTGCTGTGAGACTGCCTGATCGGACTGAGGCCTGGTATTAACTCAGTCCCTCCGCTGCCCCAGCTCTCATTTCGCTTTCCGACCATCCATGGTGGGTGGCAGCGGTTGAGTTCAATCAGTGCCGGTTTGTCCTGGAGACAAGGCCTACGCTGGTGCCCAGGCCTAGGCTGCCCCATGAGGTGCGGCTAGGAGCCCTCTCCGAGCCAGGTCTGAGGAGAATGAAAAGAGGATGGATTGGAGGGAAGAAGCCAGACAGACCGGATGAGGCTGAGGCCTAGTCTAGGGCTTTGTGCCATGTCTCCTTCCGGGCCCGGGAGTGGACCTGTGTGGGAATTGGCCGATCCTGCTGCTTGGCTGGGCACTCATACAAACTGATAATGGTCCCCAGGGCAGCCCCAACCACAGGCCGTGTCCCAGGCAGGCCAGGCTTGAAAGGCCAGGGTCCATGGTCCTCTTCTGGGCATGGGGGCGGCTCTCGGGGTCGTGTCGCAGAGGCTGGGGGGCGGTGGGAAAGGCAGGATGGAGAAGTTAGCAAGGAGGATTAAACAGGAAGGATCAAATTGCGCCGAAATCCGAGGCCCATGAAGTGGCTGGGATCGACCCCTGGAGATACATCCCCCTGGTCTAGATGCTGTGGCCATTGACATTGAGGGGGCTGAGATCACATTTCCCTGGCTGGCCAGCACCACAGAGGTGACCTTGGGTCGCTAGGTGTCCGGTATTCACCCGGACAGTCTGGTATTTTCGGCTCCTGTCTGGTAAAAATATTCAGAGAATACCGGACACCTAAAAGTCCCGTATTTTCTGAATTTTTCCCCAGCCAGGAGGTGAAAATGCCAGGCACCTGGCAACTCTACAAACACTCAGCGCCCGGCCTCCTGGCTCCCCAGCCCCCATGCTTACCTGGTTCCCCAAGGCTGCCGGCACAAAATGGCTGCCGGCCAAAAGATCTAGGGGAAGCAATGCTTTCCTCTAGGTCTTAGTACTCAGCCGCTCCCCTGTTCCTATTCCTGCACTCACTTTTAAAGGGGACACTTTTTTTTTTTTGCTCAACAACTTTGATCTCCCTCCGTTTTTTTTCCCCCTTCAACAGAATTTTTTCCCTAGTAGGTGGGGTGAGGGGTATTCAGTATTTTTGTTTCAACCATCTGGCAACCCTACTGGCTAGTCCTTCAGCCGGCACTTCACCTGCTCCCACAGTACTAGCACTTCTGGCAGCCTCCACTCCGGAAAACACCCAAGCACAGTCCTAGCAGGGACGTGTGGACTTTGGCAAGCTGTGTGAGAAGGCTCCAGCGCATGCTACCGCCAGAGCACCTTGCTAGGCAGTGCTCCTGTGTTGCATAAACCCATCAGGCAGGGCAGGTGCTGTGGAACCGCAAAGGGTGGCTGGGCGGGGTTCCCAGAAGGGACACAAGCCAGCCGGACACACCTAGAGTCCCACCTACTTCCAGAGTCATGATCCAAAGCTG